TCGCCAAGTTTGCCAATAGCGGGATCGACAGGACGGCGCATGCGAGTCTCGGTACCAAGGCTGAACTTGCGCTCGTTCACAGCTGCTACGACGAGGCGGTGCATCTTGGGATCCTGTTGGAGTATACGCCACGTCGCGACGGAGACACCTTAGATGGCGAGAGCACCCGCATCGTAGTGGAATCCCCACAGAATCCCGGCCTACATGAAAATTTCATTTCCATCGGACGACCGATGTTTTATAGCAGGTCCATCCGTGGACGTGGAACTCTAGTCTGGCTCGCGAAGAGAGCCGGCCGGAGCGATGACGGTTTTGTTGTTATCAAGGACACATGGCGAAATGAGAGTCGTTGGACGGAAGGGAAGATTTATAGGTCGATATACAAGGGGGCGGAGTCTGTTTTTGGCGTGGCCCGCTTCTACCACGACTTCGACGTCCCAGATCCGGTTTCGAAGGAAATGCCCTGCTGTACCGCTGCTGCAAGGCTGAACGAGGAAGGGACAGACCTCACTGAGCGCATCCATCATCGTTGCGTCTTGTTATCGGTCGGTATTCCCCTGGATCGCTTCAAATCCACAAAGCAGCTGCTACACGCTATTCGAGACGCCGTGGAGGGTGAGTGGCACTGAACTCGGACTTCAGCCCTGCTCACTAGCTGTTCAGGGCACAGGAACATGTGTTCCAACGGTGTTCTGCACCGTGATATCAGCCCCCATAACATCATGATCAGTGTATATCCGGAAAGGGAAATGGGCGCCCGAGGATTCCTCATAGACCCTGAATTAGCAGCCGTGGATACTATGCCTGACCTGGCGAAGGAACTACATTATCTGACAGTACGTATGCGGTATAGTTGCTTTGAGGTCTTATTGATTGACCTTCCCAAGGGCACCCTCCCGTTCATGGCTATCGATCGCTGGGATCATGATGATGCCGACCATGAAGCATGGCATGACCTTGAATCCTTCTTCTGGGTCTTGATCTTCGTCGTCTTTCGCCACACTCGGTGCTACATCACTGAACGTCGGGACGATGTGGCAGCTGCCGCGTTTCTCCCAGGTCTCTATGATGACCCTCCTTCCGAACGCAAGAAAGAGAACTTCTTACGTCACAATGGCCCACATGTCACTGTTGTCGACAACCCTGCGTTGACCGCTTGCATCAGAAAATTCGCTGCACTTGTTCGCAGCCACTACTACGACCACGACGTCAAGGAAGCCCTCCCTCGGGAAAGGATCAATCAGCTTAGCCACGACAAGGTCCTCGCCACGCTTGATGAGTCTCTAGTCTCCCCTGAATGGCCGTCTGAGTCCGAAGACGCCGCCATACCTTTCGAGCACGTGGAAAGACGCAGTGTTCTGCAGAAGCAAGAGGTCGCGGCCGCTTTGAATGCTGCGCGCCTCAAAGCGGAGTCTGCCAGGAGCTCAAGGATCACTCGGACTTCCAAGTCAGCCCAAGTGTCCAAGACAGGGCAGCAGGATCGTCGCTCGAACCAGCTGAAGCCGAATCTCTCGAAAGCAAGGAACGCGTCGACTAGACCTCCTGCCAATAGTAACAAACAGATACCGGCAGTGCCACATGCCAAGGTTCCTCAGCCCGTCGCAGGGCAGCAAGCGACCGCACACCGGACGCGCAAGAGGAAGGGTTCATCTGCTGCGAAAGAACCTGCCGAAGAAGAGTCAGCGCTGAAACGCTCGCGGCTCACCGCCGCGCAGACAACAAGGGCGTCCGTCGCCAAAAACACGAGGAGCGCTGCTCGTCTAAACAACGCGTCATCGTCGTCTCAAGGAACCACTCGGATTGTGACGCGTTCGCAGACGCGCCGCGCTCAACAGCGCTCAGGATGAGATCACATTGCATATCTGTTCGACGTCTCTTTTTTGCTTCCGCCCTTTTTTTACTTCTCCACGATACCCCTGTGTACATAGCTTTATCCAGGACTTATGTTCACCTGGCCGTGACCTCTTCCGCCTGCTGTATTATAACCAGCGTCTTGTACGGGGTAGTTAGTACGAGGTAGTAGTTCCTGACGACGAAACTTCGAAACGCTTCGGCCGCATCCCAGCTCATCCCCAGCGCAAGGATAGATCGATTCTCTATTGTTTCTCGTCGTTCCATCTACCATTAACTACTTGGAGTGCGGTGGGTGCTCGGTAGCATTACCGTGAAGAAATCCGTGTACGCCTGGTGGGTGTAATGGCGCAGAATGATTGAACGTCGATTATTGTGCTCCTCTTTCGCAACTAACGAAAATGGACGTCGATACCATCCTCTCAGGCTCCGCACTACCACTGTAATAAGAGCTTGTCCTGACAACTTGTCTCTGTATCTTCAGTCTCCATCTTTACCACATTCCTCAAGGTTCTCATCCGCTGATATCCCAGCACGGCGAAGGTGATGGAAGCTTCATACGGCATACAATATATACCCAGCCCCTAGTTACTCTCGTAGTACAAGTATCCTGATTCACACCAGATCCGCCAGTGCGCATGTACATGTAGCCTGGTTCATACTTTCCCGATACAGATGCAAGCGCGTTCGAAAAGCGGGACAGCGGTCGCCCCACCTGCAGAACCTGCGATCCTGCTTGCACTGGAAGGCGGCGACATCGAGAGAGATCAACACGCTCGCCCCATCCTCCTCGTCATCTGCGTGTTCAGCAATGCACCCGCATCCGGAGTCCGGGCAACCGCAATGATATGACAGAGGGTCTGATACTGCTGAACGTCCAAGTGGAAGGACGAAGTACATGGCATAGACTAAAGTCTCCACAGAGGGAATAGCCGGTGCATGCCACGCACAGGACACCCGGACGTCCATGCGCAGGATAACTTCCCGACTCTTGTGCACTCCGCCTCCTCCCATCGGAAGTGAGTACGCGTGAGGGCGCGGATCGACGAGCCGCAAGGGAACGGGACCGGGGTAATGTGTACGTAGCCGGTAGCACCGCGCTTCATCTGCACATCTGAGGGCCAGCTGCGGCGTCGTCTGCGAGGAGTCGCCGACCAGCGACGCGGGATCAGGGCGAAGAAAGCGGGAGAGAAGGCGAGAATCATGCGCCGTACCTGACAGCGCACCATATACATGTACATAACTCGAGAGCGGCAGAAGGGAGGACGGGAGGGTCCCAGAGATGCCAGATACAGGTCGCGGCGAGCGGGCCAGCACGGTCCAAGCCCAGACGACCCCCTCTCGCGCGCCGTAGGGTTAGGAGCCAGCACGCGACGGTGAGGAGGACTCAGGTATGCACATACCTTCCTCTACGGAATACCTGCTTCACTGGCAACTCATGCCCTGGTACTCCAGAGCGGACCCGCCGTGCACAAGTACCAAGGCTGGCCTAGGGGTTGAGGCGAGCGGACGATAAAGCTGGCCATCGCAACCAGCAGAAACATCGTGCGGGCGAAGCTCAGGCACGCCATGGCGACCCGAGCCCCGAAGAGCGCGCGCGCGCGAGTGGGTCGCGGCGTGATATCTTCGCGTGTCAGAGGCTCGCGAGAAGCAGAGGCGCCGCCGGGCACGAAGTATCCAAGGTCTCGCGAGAACCGCTGCTGCCGCCGCCGTCTTGCGTCAAGCACCGCGGACCTCGGCCAGCCCTTCCGGCCACCCACAGTCAGAAACCACGCTCGCCTCGCCTCGGATACTGTATAATGAGGGGAGAGACTCGGGACCACGGCTGGGGGGAGGGGGTGTGGACACCGTCTCCCGTGCTGTGGCAAAGCTGCGAGCGGGCCTGGCGGAGGAGGTGCCTGCCCTGCGCTGCTACGGATCGAGTAATGCCTGATGTCGCGAATCATGCAGGGGGGAATGCAGGGCAAGAGACGGACACCGATACATGGCAACCCCGAAGGACAGACGTGCGCCGAGTCGCCGGCGCCTGGGATGCGTGAGAAGGCAATCGAGTGAGAACCGGGCAGGGGGCGCGGACTTTGTCTGGGTGGAAAAGGTTGCGGGGGTGCTGCGAGCGGAGCGGGCGGACTCGGGTATATAGTGGGTGCAGTAAGGCATCGTCGGCCGTGTACGACGAACGACAACGAGAATGCAGGGAAGGTACTTACTTGATAGGCGCGACGTCGAGGATACTAGGTACGCTGGGCGGGGCGCAAGGTGGGTAAGACCATTCAGAGCTCGAGGGGGTTCCCCCATCCAGAGCTCGATGGAGTTCGCCCATTCACGCAGGGCTCTGCGACGTACAGTATAATTAATGCCCAGCTCAGGTTCAAGGGAGCCAGTCGTCAGAAAGCCAAGTCAGTAACTGAGTTGTCGAGATTATACTGAGGAACTGTCGGAAAGCCTTGCGATTGGTGAGCGGGTAGTTAGTATGTATGTAAGTAAGTCCGTTCCGGCGTTTCCCGAAACCCGGCCTGCATCCAATTGAATGAGCAGAGATGAACGTTGTGGGACATCCGACAGCCACAAGGACGCTGGATGTCCGCGCTTGCAAGTCCTGCTGTTGAAGCTGACGTTGAAGTAGGATATCGAATCGCCAGTCACCAAGGTCACCTCGATTCTGAGGCATGGATCGATCTATCGCTCACCGCTACCGCCTTCTAGATGTCCAGCTGGAACCCAACCCAACAGAGCTCCTTACTTACGGTCGTCCTGGGATCGATATCAATGTTGATATTCATCGTGTGCGACCATGCATCTCATTCTGACTAGGCCGCTCTCCTACTAGTACTTGTGTACAGCTAGTGTATGCATCAGAACTACGAAGTACGTACACTAGTGCTGGTCTGCGGGCTACCGTACGAGCGATATCGTCGCGACGGAGCACCGCGAGAAGCGAGCCCTCCCCAGCTTACACCAAAACCCAAAACATTAACCATGCGCCGCCGCCTCTCCGCCCTCCTAAACAGGCTTAACCACTCACGCACGCACGCATGCACTCGATTAAGCGAAGGCCCAGTCGACCTTGACGCGCCCCGCGCCGAGGCTCGCGAGCGCGCTAAACGCGGCAGGGGAGAGGTCGATGCTGCCCGGCGCGCAGCCGGGGCAGAGGTCGAAGACGGTGGCGTCGGTGGCGGCACCGTTGACTATGGGGATTGTGAGTGAGTATCGCAAGGGGGAGGGAGAGGGCTAGGGGGACAGGAGAGGGTCAGGGAGCAAAGAGAAGGAGACGCACAGTTGACGGTGATGTGCGTGAAGCAGTGCGCGCCGGCGGCGTAGTCGGACGGCGAGAGCGCGACGACGAAGTCGGTGGAGAGCGAGTTGGCGCCGCACGCGCCGAGGCCGGGGGTGAACCACGTTGCTGTGGATGAACGTGAGTTAGGATTGTGATCTGTTCAATGTGGGCGCTGCTGTGGAGACAAGACGTACCGTCGCCGCTCGCAGCGGACACCGCACCGGCGCTGAGGAGGGAGGCAAGGAGCGCGAGGGAGAGGGATTTGACGGCGGAGAACATCACGAGGACGAGGGGATTAGATTAGTTCGCAAGAGACGGGTCGCCGGCACGGGAGAAGAGAAAAAGTCGACGTGGACTGAGCGAACCTGTCGTCAATGCGATATCCGACTGCGTGTATACGGGGTTTTATACGGGCGTGGTGGGATCTAGGCCAGCAGTGCCAGAGTCGGGGTCGTTGGCTGTGTAGTGCGCGGGGACATCAAGCGTGATGGACAGATCCAGGAGGTTCGCAGAGACGGGACAGGCGATGCCTCGGTAACGAGGAGACTTAGGGTTTCGTTACTAGACAGTGCGTTCACTACGCCTCGTACTCGCGGGCCTGTGTAACCCTAGGGCAAGTTTCCAGTTCTGATCCGTATGATGTACGGTGTCCGACTGTAGCAGGTGCGCGAGAAGGCAAGTGCCCCAATGTAGACGCAACACGGCACGAGCGTACTTTCGTTGAGAGCTGAGGGGGGCATTCACTGGACGAGTGGCCATCGATGTTGCAGTCTGAGGCGGGCTGCAGCGTACTGGTCCCACGCGCAGCCTCTACACCCACCACGCAGAGCGCGTTACCAGTACCGAATGCTGCGGCCTTATTGACAAACTGCGCGCCACGGCTCTGGCGTCTCCACCACTCTGCTCGCTGCATCCCCGCCTCTGTCTCACAGACGGCAGCGGAAGCAGCGCCTCGATATCTTTCCCCGCGTCATCACCGCGCCCCTGCGCATCCGTCCTAGGCCACCTCCCCACCTCCGTGTCCTACACCGTGCCCCGTCTCGTTCGTATGCCCGACACGCGCGCCGGGCCTTCTGCCGGCTAGTGCGGACGATACATGCGCTCACCCCGCCGTCTGCGCCCATGTCGCCTCCAATCCGCCCACGGGGCCTACGAAGCGAGCAGGTGCGCCTGCCCGACTGCTGGCGGGCGGCTGCTTTCCCCGCTGCGTTCTTCGTTCCCCGCGCAGGATCTGCCCCCCTGCTATCATTGTCCACGCACCTTATCTCGCGCACAGTTGATGTATAAGTACATATACATGTACCAGTGGGTACTCATAATACTCCCCGGAGCCCTTGTGATATACGTATACGCTGAGATGGAGCGTGAGTAGGGATGGTTGTTGATACGCGCGGGTTCGGGGTCGTTTGGGGAGCGTGAGGAATAGCTGGTCGCCGCCTACAGCGGCGGCGAGATGTCACTCGGCAGGGACAGGCGATCGTCTTGACCTCTGTGAAATTCGCGGAGGTTCGGATAGAGGGGATGCGACGCGCACGTGCCTGCTGACGGAGCTGAAGCCAGATTCCACGCTTCCGGCCTCGAGGGCGGGCGCGTCGACACTGGGGGCACGCCTCGAGATCTCCGTCCGAGCCCTGTGCCTTCCTCATCAACGCGCAGAAGAACACCGGGCCTGCGGGGATACCTCGTACGTCAGAGAGGCACTGGACGTTCAGGCAAACGCGCCTGGTACGATGGCCGAGCGACTGTCCGCTGCGAGCTGCGCGCGACTCTGCTCCCGCGTGCGACTCCACCGAGCGGGTTCGCGACGACTGCCGTTCATCGCGCCCATATCGCCGGATAACGTGCGCGCGGGCGGAGAGTCGGGGCGCCCCCAGCAGATGCACCTCGAGTTTGTGTCCGCATCCCATCGCCAGAGTCGCCTTTATTACCCATTATACATTCCCCATTCCCCACCTGCGCCTACGCCTCCTTCCCCCACACCCCTCGAAAGGCGCACTCGATCCCCTGAGGAAACGCCCACCCACGCGCACCGTCGTTGACGTGACGAGCTGCAGTGTGAGGTGAAGAGAGGGAGGGGAAAGGGAACGGAGAGGGAAGGGTCAGAGAAAGTGTGGGGAAGAAAGAAGGAAGAAGGAAGAAGAGAGGGAGACGCACAGTTCACAGTGATATGCTCGGAACAATGCGCAAGCGCGACCACGAGGCCGGTCGCGAGGGAGGTGGCGCCGCACGCGCCTTCGCTGCGGGGATTATGATCGAGAGTCGTAATAAGTTGGAGCGAATGTATGGGCTGTTGTGGAGGGGCGAGACTCACCGTCACCGATGCGGGAGGCGAGGATCACGAGGGGGAGGGTTTTAGCGTTGGAGAGCATTACAAAGGCACGGGGATGTGGTAGGAGGAGGACATAAGTGAGGAACGGATGGGCGGCCCCGGATGAAGAGCAAGGAGGACTAGGGACTGAACGAACCTGTTGTCAACATGGGGTATCGAACCGGGTGTCTGGGAGGTTTCACAAGGGGTGGTGCGCGGAGATACAGCTGTGTGGCACCCGAAACATCAGGAAAAGCATGAGAGGAACGCAGATGATGCTAAGACGTCCGACTGAAGCAGGTGCCCGAGTACTTGGAGAAGGCGGCGCCTTGAAACAGTATGAAGGCACCAGCAAGCTGTCGTCCGGAGCTCAGCAGTGGTCCTCGTCGTCCACTCGCAGACGAGACCGTCAATGTGGCAGTCTGACATTGGATGTAGGGCAGTGATTCGCCCTACGTCGTGTTCGGCGGGAGGGGTAGGCCTGAAGCCTGAAGTCGTTTCTCTCGCCTGCTCATGCCGCAAAATGCATCAGTTCGTATGAACAAGCTATTGTTGGTCGGTCAATATTAGGCCAGCAGGAGGCCCGAACGATGTCTCAAAATCGTAGAGTTCGACTTGACGCATGCTGCTGCGTGACAAATGCACGTGAAGTTACGCGGCTGTGACACTTGTCTCAGATGGTTGCCGTATTCAGCATAAAGCCTTTATAAGGCGGTAGGGCCGTGCGAGCGGCAGAGCCCGCTACCGTAGACATAGATAAGATTTGGTAGCAAGCTGAAAACTTGACATCCTGAGCAGCATCGTATACTAATATATTTATTTTGCGAAAGCAGTTGTGTTCCAGCCATGATTTCCGACTGAGCATTCACCTCAACGATTTGAAGAGATGTCCACTCACTCCTCCCTCAGGTTCTGAGTATACAAGTCATTTATGTAAAACAGCTGACATTGAAGTATGCTGCTTTCACCTGGAGACCGCATCTCCAACGCCCCAAGCTAGGTCATGTCTGTTCTCTTGAGTCCCTTGACCAGCATCCGCCACCTTGGCTAAAGATGGAAAGAGAGATGCCACGTGGTTCTACAATCGGGGTCCTTTGAGGACCCCATCTTTGATTGGTCCAAAGCCGTGTGCCGGTCCTGCC